AGACACACACACAAGGATTGGTGCTGCTGCTGATCCTGCTGCTGCTGCTGCTGCTACTGTTGCTATTGCTGCTGCTGTTCCTGCTGCCATTGTTATTGCTGTTGCTGCTGCTACCATTGCTGTTGCTGCTGTTACTATTGCTGCTTTGCTGCTGTTAGGGAAGCAATGTTCTTGCTGCTGCTGCCTTTGTTTGCAGTACCTGGTGCTGCTGCTGCTGCAGCAATAGCAGCACGACGGCCCAGCAGAAGGCTGCTGCTGCAGCACAGCTCCTCGTTGCTGCTGCTGCTGCTGATGCTGCTGCTATTTGCATGCATCTGGCTGCCTTAAGGATACGTTCTATGCAGTGTCTATTATAAGATAATTGGGGTGTACGTACACCGCTGCAGCAGAACTACTACTAGCAGCAGCACTAACTGTGTATGGCCTGCAGCAGCAGCAGCAGAAACTGTTGTTGCTGCTGCTGCTGTAACTCCCTTCTGCTGCAGCAGCAGCAGCGTAGATAGTCATATGCTGCAGCAGCAGCACCTACAGTAGTCTGCACAGCAGCAGCAACTAATATGCAGTAACAGCAACAACTAATCTAGCAACAACTGATCTGCAGCAGCAGCAGCAACAGCAACTGATCTGTTGCAGCTGCAGCAACTAATCTACTCTATATATAAATCATTATAGCTGTTGCTGCTGCTGCTGCTGCTGCATGCAGCAGCAGCAGCAGCAGCAAACTAAAAGTCGAGCAAATCGGCAGCAAAAGTTGTGCCGCTCGATCCTGTCTCCCATGCTGCATCTGCTGCTGGTGTTAATCCTTGCTGCTGCTGCTGCTGCTGCTGCTGCTGCGGTGCTGCAGCAGAACCAGCAGCAGCAGCTTCTGCTGCAGCAGCAGGACTGGTAGGCTCTCCTTGGGACTCAAGAGAGGAAGGGCTCCATAGATCTGCTAGAGCAGTCGGCTGCTGCTGCTGCTGCTGCCGCTGCTTGTTGGCAGCAGCATGAGGAGCTGCTGCTTTTGCTGCTACAAGTTTTGATTTTGCTGCTGCAGCTAATCTGCTCTTGCTGCTGCTGTTGTTGCGCTGCTGCTGCTGCTCCTCCTCCTCCCTTCCTGCCTCTCGTGTAGTTCCCTTGCGTGAATTGCGCTGCTGCTGCTGCTGTTGCTGTTGCTGCTGCTGCTGCCCCGTAGCTTGTTTGCGAGCCTCCTGTTGCTGCTGCTTCTTTTTTTGTGGCTGCTTCTGCTGCTGTCTCTTCTGCTGCTTGCTTTGCTGCTGCCGCTGCTGCTCCTGCTGCTCCTCCTCCTCTTCATCAGAGGTGTGCTGCTGCTGCTGCTGCTGCTCTTGTTGCCTTTGTCTCGATTCAGCTTGCTCCCGCTGTTGCTGCTCTTCGCGTCTCTGCTGCTCTTGCTGCAGCAGCAGCTCCTGCTGCTGCTGCTGCTCTCGGCGTTGCTGCTCTTGTTGCTGTTGCTGCTGCTGTTCTTCCTGCTGCCTCTGCCTTTCCTCCTGCTGCCGCTGCTGTTCTTGCTGCCGCCGCTGTTGTTCTTGCTGCAGCCGCAGCTGCTGCTCTTCTTGCTGCTGCCGCCGCTGCTGCTCTTCTTGCTGCTGCTGCTGCCTTTGTCTGTTGCTGCTCTCCACCGTGTTTGCTGCAGCAGCAGAAATTGCTGCTGCACTAAAGCTGCTGCGCTGCGCAGCAGCAGCACCTGTTGCTGCTGCTGAAGGAAACAGTGCATGCGCAGTAGCAGCAGCAGCAGCTTCTGCAGATGGTGGATGTGCTGCTGCTGCTGCTCCTCCTGTGTTGTCATCCCTGCTGCTGCTGCTGCTGCTGTTGGCGCTTGTGCGCTTCCGACTAGCAGCGTTACCCACTCCAACAGCTGCCGTGCTGCTGCTGCTGCTGCTGCTCTTACCTTTAGGAGCAGCAGCAGCAAGCAGCAGCAGCTGCTCCTCGCTGCTGCTCCATTCCCCTCCTGCTGCCCTTAGATCCTCCCTGAGGTGTCTCTGCAGCAGCAGCAAGTTTTGCTGCGATAGGAAGCGCCGCTGCAGCAGCGGTGCAGCAGCAGCAAACCAGCTGCAGTACTTGCTGCTAATGCTGCTACTGCTGCTGCTGCTGCTGCTGCTGTTTCCTAGTACCAGCATGGCCCGCCGTCTTGTCTTCCGTGCTGCTGCTGCTGCTTCCCTCAGCACAGCAATGACTTGCTGCTGCTGCTGCAGCGTCAGCAGCACACCAAGTCTTTGTGTTGCTGCATGCATAAATGTAAGCATGTCTTGCTGCAGCTGCTGCTTCGTTTCTTCTGCTGCAGCAGCAGCAGCAGGAGGAAGACCAGATGAACCTGCAGCAGCAGCAGCTGCTGCTGCTTCTTCTAAGGGCTCCAGCAGCCGCAGCGCATGCAGCTGCCGCAGCGACTGCAGCAGCAACTGCAGCAGCAGCGGGAAGGATTCACGTTTTAGCTGCAGCAAGAAGGCTAATGCTTGCTGCTGCAGCTGCTGCTGCGGGTGCAGCAGCAGCAGCAGCAGCGCAGCAC